CTATGAAGAGGGGAGTGAAACAAGGGGATCCTCTGTCCCCTCTTCTCTTTATTCTAGGAAGCGAAGGTTTAAGCAAGGCTCTTACACAGGGGATACATTCCAGGTTCCTCAAACCTTTTAACAGTGGACGGGGGCCAATCATCACTCACCTCTGTTATGCAGATGATCTGGTAATTTTCCTCAACGGTAACACCCGTAACCTTCTTCGCCTAATGTCCATTTTGAAAGAGTACAACCTAGCCTCGGGTCAAGACATTAATTGGATGAAGAGCAGGTTCTTTGTGAGCTCCAAGACCCCCATCAGAAAATGCTTACAAATGGAGAAAGCTCTCCAAATTAGGTGTGGAAAACTCCCCTTCATTTACCTTGGAGGGAACATCACTAAAGGTATCCTTAGAAAGGAGGGTTTCCAACCTATACTTCAACATTTTGACAAGTTTTTGTCCTCTTGGTACTCTAAGGTCCTTAACCCCATGGGCCGGTTGATTTTGATCAAACACGTACTCTCCTCCATTCCTCTACATCATATTGCAGTTTGTGAGCTTCCAAAATCAATCATCAACACCCTCCACGCCAAGATGAAGAACTTCTTATGGGGATACACCAACGGCAATGCCAAACATCACTGGAAATCCTGGGAATATATGTGCAAACCAAAGAAGGAAGGGGGACTTGGGATACGCGACTTGCACCAGGTCCAAAAGGCCTACTCCCTAAAACTCATTTGGAAGATTAATCATGTGGAGAACCTTTGGACAAACTTTATGAAAGCCAAATACATTTCTAATAGGGCAGCTATAAAGGCGAATCTCCCGGACTCCCCAACGTGGAAAAGAATATGCAAAGCTCATGTAGATTTAGAGGATGATGAATTTGGTAGCTCCCTGCCCCTCAACCTAACCATGAAGAATGCCTATGATCTGGTTTGTGACAATGGCCCTACTCTATTTTCATCTAAACACATTTGGAATAAGCTCCTTCCAACAAAAATCCAATTATTCCAGTGGAGATTGCTTAATAACTGCTGCAGCTTTCCAAACAACCTTCGTAGGCTTAAATACCACCTTCCATCCCAATGTGTATTTTGTCTACGATGCGAAGATCAGCAAGATCACACGCTGCTTGCATGCCCTGCCATTAATGGTATATGGAAAGATTTTGCAAAAAGGACGGATGGTCCTGTATGGAAGGAGGGAGTAACCCTGCGCCAGCACCTCCTCCAATGGTGGCTATCGTCAAATAAGAATGATTTCAAGGGTATCCTACGCTCTTGCATGCCGGGTTTCATCGTATGGGCTATTTGGAAGGCATACGGTGCATGCGTATATGGAGGTGAGAAGGCCTCGATTAGGAGTATTTACTATGCTATTATCAACTGGATTAGAAGATGGACCCATATGCACTCGGGACGTACGTGGTTAATGAAGTCAAATGGGATGGAGGACCTGGGTCTCTCGGAATGCTGGAACAAAGGTCATAGATATTAGTTTGATACACGTTCCTCATTTCTTGTTCTTCGTCTTTTGCTCGGGGTTTTGGCCTAGTCCCCCCCGTCTTTGTATTTCAGCTCTTTTTTAATTAAATATATATATATATATATATATATATATATATATATATAATTGAAAGGATTATTTTATTAGAAATCAAAATACAAAAGGAGGGGGTGGCCCATACCCCAACAAGTTGGCCAAGGTATCAAATACAAAAGGACATACGAAGGAAAGAGAAACAAACACCAAAAGGCAAATACATAAAACCAAGTACTAGAAAGTAGGTGCTTCCCGTCCCAGCTTGTAATTGTCTTCTTCCATTTGGAGTAGAGTCTATGGATACTTGCAAAATACAACTGCAATTTCGAGAGTGCTAGAAATCCTGACGCCATCCATGGATACCAAGAGATTGCCCTTAAAGGAAATGCTAGGTCGCCACTGATGCAGTACCAAAAAGCTATTTCCAAATTTCAGCTGTGGGTTCCCATTCCAGAAAACCAAGTGTTCTGAATTTTAGTGGCGGGAGCCAAAAACATGAAGCCTAAAATGGCCTTAACAGATGCCTTCTGGTTTCACCAAACTTTGAAGTAATTTCAAAAGAAGCAATCCGGCAAACAAACCAAGTAACTCCAAAATGTGTTGAAATCAATTGAGTAAAAAAGAGAGAATCATAGTAATTGTAACAATCTACTCAAACCAACTTAATACAGGTCTTTATTTCGAGCTTTCCAGTCGAAGAGGCGTTTGCTCCTCCTTCTTGGGAGTGAAGAATCCTGGATTTGCAAGCAAATTTGGTTGAACTTTTTATTATTTCTCTTTATGTTTGCCTCTTTTTTGGCATGCCAATCTTCGTCTTCAGAACCTCTGTCTGTCTCCCATTCCTCTTCGAATGAAGGAGGTTTAGGAGCTTTTCCAGAAAGTTTGTTCTCAGGCCCGGAGTTATAACACACATTATAACCCCATTGTGAAGAATCCAGGTCATTGTCTGAATTGGAGCATCCTAAGAAGTCAGGGGGGTTGGCTAGTGTGGTAGGATCAGGATTTCTAGGGGTGAATTCTGGAGCAGAGGCTGAGAGTGAGTTGGCACGAGGTTGGGGCAAGATTGGGGGAGGGGAAGGTTCATGGGCTGATAACAAGCATGAAGATTGAAAGGTTGTACTCTCTAAAGGCTTATGGGAATCAACACCGGGTAATTCACAAGAGAGAAGAGTTGCAGAGATGGAAAGAGGTGGTTGGTATGCTGGTTTAGAAATCGAGGCACACACCACAGCCATATCCAAAAAAGGAGGGGGAGGGGGAACCAATGTTTGAAGAAAATCAAAAGTTTTCTTAAAATAAGAGGTGAAGGATGCAAAGCCATACCCTTGAGAGCCTTCAGGGATGAAAACCCAGATTTTCCCATCCTGATGAAATTCACACAATTTGATGTGGTTCCTGAAACTTGAAGATTGAAAGTGTAGCTGTAACCGTCTGTTCCCTTCTCTTCGACTGGTTGAACACAGCTTCCCCTTCGAGTTAAGTGAATAGAGGTTCTCCAGTAACCAGGTGCAAGTGTCCAAACCAAGCCATATATTGTAATGTTTCCTCCCCTAAATTTCAGTGATGCAGATCTTCTTGTTGTAAATTGATGGAGTGAGTATGAAGGTCTTACCTTCGATGGTGAACCTTAAACGGTATGGGTGAGGTCTCGATTCCGCATGGACTGTGAGTGGAATTGGAAGGGAAGCAGACTCGTTGGCAAGTTCTAAGGTCGAAGAGAGTGCCTCTGCATCCTTCCTTTCGCGGTTTGTGACTGGGTAGGATCGCTGAAGGATTTCTGAGAAAGATGGTGATTGAGATAATTTAATCGGCAATTTGGTATGAATTGAAGAGTGGGATTTCCTGCATAATGTTAGATTTGGATGGGTGTTGGCAGAGGAGAAGACGGTCTGAAACAGCGGCGGAAGAAACACCGGCTGAGGCGGCGCAGAGCTCTGACCTCTCTCTAAAACCGGATCCATTTATATATATATATATATATATATATATATATATATATATATATATATATATATATATATATATATATATATATATATATATATATATATATATATATATATATATATATATATATATATATATATATATATATATATATATATTAAAAGAGAGCTTTATAAAGATTCTCTCTCTAGCGGCGGAGCTCCCTCTAGCAATGCCGGCGACCTCCTCAGGTGGTTCCTCCGGCAACCTGCCAACTACTGCATCACCTTCATCCAACCCTCTCATTCATCAACTGCAGCACCCCTTAGCAGCACCTTCCAAACATCTTCCCTCCAAAAATGTTCCATCTCCAGCAGCTCAGACCACCAGCAATACAACTACCACCTTCAATAACACCTTCTCAGAAAGGAACAACAACCCACATCAGAGGAAAAGTTATGCTGCAGCAATTGTCACTTCAACACAACAGGTAACAATCCCCCCCTTCCTATCAAACCAGTTGAACGGCTTAAAGGCCTCCCTTGCGTCTCCTTTTCAGAGGAAGAAGTCATCCTACTGGCCTCAAGATTCTCTAAGGCCTTAGTAGGATCTTTCTTCTTTGGGAGACCAAGCCTTGAATTTATTAGACAAAACGTGGAGAGAATTGGATTTATAACCTTCTCTGTCACACTAATTGACTCTACCCATGTTCTTATCAACTTCTCCTCACAAGATGAATATCATAGATGTTTTAAAAGAAGGGAATGGAATCTGGGATCTTTTAAAATGCTGGTTTCAAAATGGACTCCAACCTTTGATCCCAAAGTTGAGTCACCCATCTGGATTGGCATCAAAAACCTTCCCATACACCTTCACTCACCTGACTCCTTGCACAGAATTGGTCACATTTTTGGGAACCTTATTAAACTTGACACCACTACTGAGAGCTTTGGTAGACCATCTCTGGCCAGAATTTGTGTTGAAGTTGATATCTCTCAACCAAAAATCTCAAAATTTTTCATACAAAATGGTAACCAACAGCTCTCCCTAGAAGCCATTTATGAAGACCTCCCTTCCTTCTGCCACACATGCAAGGGAATCTCCAGACACAATGGAGAATGCTCAGCCCCGGAAAATAAACAAACCTTACCACCAAACCCCTTACCGGAATCCCAGAATCCTGGCCGGAATATTCCCAAACCTCCTAAGCACAATACAGTCACTATCTTCGGGAAGAAAGCTCCCAAAAACACCCAGACCCCACAGCAACACCCACAGACTACTCAAAACCCCACTGCCACTCCCACAGTCTGTCAGACTAAGGATATACCTTCAACAAGTAAAATCCAACACCCCCTTACCCCCACCAACAACAGCCACCCCTTTACTACCATCCCCAGAACAAGCTAACCATCCCCCAACACACAATAACCCCCAACAACAAAAATACAAATTACCAGAACCCACTGCACCTGTCCAAAACCCACTCTCTCCCCTACCCGAGCCAGCCAACTGTCCAAACAGCACCAACCCACTCTCTCCCCTACCCGAGCCACCCAACTGTCCAAACAGCACCAACCCACCAGCCAGCCCACCCACCACTAGTCCTCTTAACACATCTCCCTCACTACCCAAAACTCCCACTAGTCCTCTTAACACATCTCCCTCACTCTCAGACAGAGAAATCCTTGAAGCATTGATGAAGGACATCACCAACATATGCAACACATCAATGAAAAATAAGCTGAGTGGATCCAAAGATGTCTCCCACATTCAGGACACTCACCCCAAATACACAGTTAATTACCTGAGTGACACAGACACTACCCAGGAACAACAACAACACACATATCCCCCCATTCACCCTCAAAAAGAACCACAAAGTAGACAAACCACTGATTGCTTCACCACTATTACAAGGAAATCAAAAAGGCTTATAGAGAAATCATCATCAAAAAGTTCTTCCCAATCCAGTCATCAATGAATTGCCTCTTTTGGAACCTCTGTGGGATAGTTTCTAACAAAGAAAGGTTATCCCTACTGGTCACTAAACACAAAATTATCATTCTCACCATCATTGAACCCAAAGCCTCCCCAGATAAACTGACCAATTTTCAGCTGGAACTTGGATTCTCCAACTCCATTTCTAGCTCCAGCAATAGAATTTGGATCATGTGGCACAATCAACATCTGACCTACAAGAAGCACACAGACATGGGACAAATGCTTAATGTTCTCTTCCACAGCAAACAAACCAATAAAAACTTCCTACTCTCAGGGATCTATGGAAAACACACAAGAGAGGAGAGGAAACAATTATGGGAAGCAATCAGTCACTGCAACAGTAACAACCCAGATGACTGGATACTTGGGGGAGACTTCAATGCCATCTCTTCCCTTGAGCACCACACGAGTAAGAGCATACCTTGCCTCAACAGTATTCAAGATTTTGACACCTGTATCATGAACAATGGCTTAATATCCCCCCCTTTCACTAGCAACAACTTCACTTGGACAGGAACTAGAACCCTGGGGAGATTATGGAAGAGACTGGACAGAGTCTTCATCAATCCACTTTGCCAAAAACACTTTGACTCTATATCATCCCAACACCTCTCAAGTGGAAAATCAGATCACTACCCTATCCTCATCTCTATCCAAAACCCCCTATTCAATGGACCCAAACCTTTCAGATACCTAAATTGTTGGGCCAATCACCACTCCTTCAAGACTCTCATTGAAGCAAACTAGGGTCCCTACAAAGGGGGGGGGGGGTATGAAAGGACTAATGGACAAACTGGTCAATCTCTCATCTATTCTAATCACTTGGAACAAGAACAGCTTTGGCAACATCACTTCTAAAGTGGTGGAATATGAACAAAAACTTCAAGAGGCAGAACAGAACTATGATACACTGCCTACTATGGAGAATAGAATTCTGATGAATGAAACAAGGGCACACCTCAATCAAGCCACAAAAAATGAATTCACCTATTGGAAACAAAAGGCTGGAATCGAATGGCTCAAAGAGGGAGACTATAACTCAGCCTATTTTCATGCCATCCTGAAGGAGAAAAGAAACCATCAAAAAATCCAAAGAATCAAAAACAGCAGTGGCAAATGGACTTCTGATCTTAATGAAATCCAACAGGAGGCTACTGATTATTTCCAACATCTCTTCTCTTGGAAAAATAGTTCAAGTCATGACCTATTTCTCCCTAACATCCCAACCCTCATCAATGAGATAGACAACCACATGCTCACTAGACTTCCCTCTGAAGATGAAGTCAAGGAAGCAATCTAGAACTTGGATCCTGATAGTGCTACAGGGCCTAATGGGTTTATTGGAGATTTTTACAGAAAATGCTGGGATATTATTAAAGAGGATGTTACTAAGGCTGCTCAGAAATTCTTCTTGGAAATCCCCATTCCCAAGATTTTGGGAAAATCTAGCATCATCCTAATTCCCAAAGTTGAAAACCCATCCACTTTTGAGGAATTCAGGCCAATCTGCCTCTCAAACTTCATAGCCAAAATTTTTTCTAAAATTTTAGCAATGAGATTGGGCAGCATCCTTCCTAACATAATATCACCAGAACAAGGTGGTTTTATCATAGGAAGACAAATCCATGACCAGATCCTGATTACCCAAGAACTCATCCATGGGATTAACTTCAAAACTAGAGGAGGAAATCTAGCTATCAAGCCAGACATGTCCAAGGCCTTTGACAGAGTCTCTTGGGAATTCCTTGAACTGATCCTAAGGAAATTTGGGTTCTGCAATAAGCTTAACAATCTTATCCTTAATAATCTTCAAGCCACTACACATTCTATCCTGATCAATGGCTATCCCACCAAAGGATTTCAACCTAGAAGATGACTCAAACAAGGTGACCCCCTCTCCCCCCTCCTTTTTATCGTGGCAGCAGAAACCTTCAGCAGAACCCTCAAAACCAAAATTGAACATGGAGAACTTTCAAGCTACAAACTAGGAAGACACTACATGCCCATTACCCACCTAGCTTTTGCAGATGATCTTCTAATCTTTACTAATGGAGATGCTAAAAATCTGGCCCACATCTCCAATTTCCTTAAAGATTATGAAGAAGCCTTAGGCCAAAAGATCAATCTCCATAAAAGTTCCTTCTACACCCCAGACAAAACTCCTTCAGCCCAAGCCACAAATGGGAAAAATCCTAAACATGCAAAGAGGCTGTTTCCCTTTCAAATACCTTGGCACTCAAATCTACAGAGGCATCAACAGAAAGGCCTACTGCTCTGACCTTCTAAACCATTTTGATAGAAAACTCAAAGGTTGGTCTAAAAGCCTTCTATCTCAAAGTGGCAGGCTGGTCCTTACTAAACATGTCCTAAGTGCAATCCCCCTACACATACTAGGCTCCACTACACTTCCCAAAAGTGTGATCAACTGCCTCTGCCAGAAAATGAGCAATTTCCTTTGGGGGACAAATAAAGAGCATCACAATTATCACTGGCAACATCAGCAGACCAAAAGAAGAGGGGGGATTAAATATCCCCAACATTGTTACCCTTCAGAACTCCTATGGTCTTAAGATGTGGTGGAGCTACATGAACAAGAACTCGCTCTGGGCAGAGTTTACTCACTCCAAATATCCCCATGGCCTCAACACCCCCCTAAAATCACTGACTCCCCCACTTGGAAAAGACTTCACTACATCAATGACATAGCCTACACCCTCATTGACCTGGACAGCCACAACAATCCTACTTGGGATGATGGAAAACCTGGTTTTTGCCTAAAGAGAGCTTACAATGCTATGAGAGAATCTTCCCATTGATACCTTTCTTACCCACTCTTGGAACAAAAAACAGTATCCTAAAATATCAATTTTCCTATGGAAGCTCTACAATAACATACTTCCTTTCACTAACAATTTAACAAGATTTGCAGTATGCCTCCCTTTTGTTTGCTTATTGTGCAAGAACAATAATGATGACCAAAATCACACACTCTACAACTGCCACTACAGCAAAAAAGTATGGAACCACTTTGAAGAACATTTCAAAATTGCAAAAACCACAACACATGGCATTCGGGCTTACCTGATGACTTGGTGGAGAAGCAGGGAACATCACACCAATGAGCACAGGAAGATTATCCCAGGCATCATCACCTATGAGCTCTGGAAAGAAAGGAATCGCCGAAATCATCAAGATGAAACCAAATCCACTTCACAGCTCATAGAATTGATCTGGAATAAACTAACAGAATGGACAATTGGAAAAGGAAAAGGTAGAATCCCACTCACCTTCGAACATCTCATTAACCCAGCGCCAACAATTCAAACCTTCAAATGGAAGGCCACTGGAGTCACGCTTAACACGGACGTGGCTGTTAGAAATGGAATCATGGTGGGAGGAGCAATCCTACGTTCAGCAGAGGGTCGTTTCCTTGGCGGCAAGACTTGCAAACTCCGGGAAACAGCCAGTGTGGTGGACGGAGAACTGGAAACTAGGCTCATGGGCCTTTCATGGGCCACAACACTTGTGAAGGGTTGCCTCAACCTACACTTAGACTCCACTAATGCAGTCATGAGAATCAAAGAAGCCCACAAAGATGACCCAATTAGTCATGATATCAAGCTTAAACTTCAACAAATTCAAGGAAGTGCAAAACATGTCTATCGGGAAGAAAACACATCAGCACATAACTTGGCACATTTTGCTCTTGCAAACAATAAATTTTCAATCTACAATTCCCTCTCATCACTCCCCAAAACTGTCAAAGGGGCCATTAAGTGTGATAATTGTTGTATTCTGATTCGTATTCAATAAAATGAATAAAATATGTTTCCAAAAAAAATTAAAAGAGAGCTTTATTAAAGAAAAAGGAAAAAGGAGTTACAGAAGAAAAAATTAAGAAGTGCAAGGGAGACAACCCAAAAAAAGGGAAACAACCCAAAAAAAGGGACCTAAAACTGGGAATGTTGAAGGATCCTACATCCATTTCTCCAAAACGTATCCAACCCCAATCCTTTGAAGTCTTCATCTTGTACCATCCATTTTTTATCCTTGTTAACCCAACACCAAGCTTGAAGGATTTTGAAGTACATTTGGAGGATGCCCTGTGCCGAAGGAGTGAGTCATTGATGGAGGTGAGAGTTACGTGATTTACACAAAGACCAGCTGCAAATGCCAGGTAGAATGAGAAGAAGATTGCCTTTGAAGTGTTTAGTATTGCTACCAAACCACCATGCAAGTAGGTGTTGGCGTAGGGTGGTTTGCTCCTTGACTTTAGGTCCATTGCATAAGTTGGAAAGGTGGTTCCAAACCATGGTGGCCATGGGGCAGTGGAGGAGTGTATGATCCAAGGAGTCAGTGTTTTGGAGACAAAGGGAGCACCTGCTAGGCGAGGTGAAGGAAAATCTGTTGAGGTTGGAAGCAAAGGGCAAGATATTGTTGAAGGCTTTCCATAAGAAAATTCGTATCTTGGGTATATTGCTTTTATGCCAAATATATCTGCTGGATAGTAGGATTGGTCCTTCATCGCTGACCACCTTGAAGGCTTGTTTGAGACTAAAGTTGGTTCCTTCCCATTGCATGTTTCCATTAGAGAAGGTGATGTGTTGAGTAGCCTCCTCATTTGACCTGCATATTCTTTTCCACGATGGAGAGTCTGTGAGCTTTTCTTTTATTATCCCTTGCTTCATGTATTTTGCTCTAACAAATGTTCCCCAAGCTCCCATGTCCATTTTCGCTTTCCACCAAAGTTTGAGAGTGTAGGCGTGTTGAAGGTCATCCATGCTTTTAATTCCTAAGCCCCCTGTCTCTGCTGACGTTGTGAGTTGATCCCAACCCTTCCAGTGGTATTTAGGGTTTCTCATGGTTTTGCCCCCAAAAAAAATTGGCCATGTAGGAGTTTAGGATTTTTACGATAGACTTTGGAAGGGTGTGAACAACTATGATGTGTAAAGGTATAGAAGATAGTACATGCTTAATTAGGATAAGCCTCCCCATTTGATTCAGAGTTTTGCTGTACCAAGAATGGATGAGTTTCTCAAAGTGATCCAAAATCTTTTTGCAGTGTTCCTTTCTCAAAATACCCCAGAAGATGGTAGCTCCAAGGTAGGTGAAGGGCAAGTTTCCTCTCCTGATGCCTTGTGCTTTCTCCATGTTTTGGGCTTGAGTATTGGTTGTCTTCTTGGAGGTGTAAAATTTGCTCTTTTGTATGTTGATCTGCTGTCCAGAAGCTTTAAGATATAGCTCCAAAGTATCTTTGAGCTTGATCAAATTTCTTTTCTGCCCCCTAGTAAAAATCATCAGATCATTAGCATAAATAAGATGAGAGGGAAAGGGGACCTGGCCTGCATTGAATCTGATAAGAATTAGTGAGTTCATCTGGTGATTGAGAAGCCTGCTGAAGTCTTCTACAACAATGATGAAGAGTAGAAGAGAGAGGGGGTCACCCTGCTTGACTCCCCTCTCCATCTTGAAGTAACCTGTAGGTTCTCCATTGATAAGGATACTAAAATTAGTGCCTTTGAGATTAGCCATGAGGAGGGATATTGAATGGGGGTTGAACCCAAAGGCTGTTAGGATTCCCTCAAGGTATACCCAATCAATTCTATCAAAAGCTTTAGCCATGTCCAACTTGAGTATTAGGTTTCCCCCAAAGACTTTCTTGTCAATAAGATGAACAGCTTCCTGTGCCATAAGTACATGATCATCAATGGATTTCCCTTTTTTGGAAAGCAGCTTGTTCTTGGGATATAATTTTGGGCAGGAGAGCATTTATTCTGTTGGCCAGCAGTTTGGTGTTTATCTTGCTCATGAAGGTTGAGAGAGAAATGGGTCTGAAATCATCAAACTTCCTGGGGCTGTCAGATTTGGGAATGAGGGACAAAAGGGTACTGCCATAGGCCTGAGGGATTGGAACACCCAAGAAGAATTCCTGTGATGCCATTAGAACGTCATGTTTGATGATCTCCTAGGTGGACTTGAAGAAGTTACCATTGAACCCATCAGGACCACCTGCGCTATTTCCATGCAAGCTCCAGACTGCTTCTTTGACCTCTTCTAAGGTAGGCAAGGCATTGAAAGTGTGGTTGTCCTCTGGTGAAAGAGTAAGGGGAATGAGGGGGAGAATATGCTCCAGGGAGGGATGGAGGGTTCTCTTGAAAGTATTCTCAAAGTAGGAGATAGCCTCTCTTTTGATGTCTGCCTGATTGTAGTAGCCTTTACCATTGGGGCCAATAATGTGGGAAATGTGAAGTTTCTTTCTCTTCCCTTTGGCATAAGCTTGGAAAAGTTTGGAGTTGGAATCACCTTTATCCATCCATTTGATATTGGCTTTTTGTCTCCAAAATTGGACTTCCAAGTTTGTGGCAAGAATCAGATTTGCATTAGCTTGCTGCATTGCTTCCCTATTCTATTGACTAGGGTTTAGCTCGAATTCAAGTTGAGTGTGAATGGAGGCCTCCTCAGCTTCTTGAAGTTTGGAATGAATGTTACCAAAGGTGGTTTTATTCCTGATTTTGAGAGCCCCTTTCAAAGAGTGTAGTTTGCTTGCCAAGCCTCTCATGCCTCCAGTGGTTGGTAGTTTAAGCCAGGTATCCTTAACAAATAGATGGTAAGAATCATGCAGTGTCCAGCAATTTAAAAATCTGAAAGGCTTAGGACCTGGGCAAACCTTCTGTGTGCATTGAACTAGGAGTGGATAGTGATCAGAGTTGAATTTAGGAAGATGCTTAAGTGAGATGTCATTAAAAAGGGCTAGAGTAAGGAGATTGAGTAAAGCCTTATCTAGTCTATGCCAAGTTCTACCTTGGCTCTTGACACCAGACCGTGTAAAAAGACTACCAATGGGATCTAGAGATACAAGTTGGCAGTGGGTAATTCAGTTATTAAAGTCCTCCATGGCTTGAAGGTTGGGGGTGCATCTACCTCTGTATTCCAAAAGGGAGGAGATAGTATTAAAGTCTCCCCCTAAGATCCATCTATAGTTGGGTGTGCAAGCTGCATGTAGGTTGCTCCAAAGAGCTCTCCTCTCCACAATAGTGTGGGCTCCATAGACAGAAGAGATTAGAATGGGAACATTGAAGGAGGCCAGGGTGAAGAGGCAGTGGGTAACTTGGGGGCTGTCTTGGGAGGAAAGGAGGGAAAGGTGAGAGTTGTCCCAAAAGATCCATCTTTTATTGTCTGAGGAGTTGAGGGAATTAGAGAAGTCTAGTTGGAGTTTGAAGGTATTAAGCTGAGAAACATCAGTAAAGGGTTCAATAACACAAAGAAAATGCACTGAAATTTCCTCTAGAGGAAAATGAGCCTGTTGAGGGAGGAAGAAGCCCCACAGGCATTCTAGAAGATTAGGTTCATGAGAGGGGGGTGGCAGATACCTCCTTTCTAGCCCTACTTCTGGTAGCATAACGTGGGTGGGAAGGTTTAGTTCTCCCATGACGTGGTTGCAAAGGTATAGAATCTATAGAACAATTTAAAATGTCAATCTCCAAAGGGACAAGGGGGTTGTGGAAAGAGGTTTAGGATCAGGTTCCCCCTCCGAGTGGTAGGAGATGGGAGAAATGTGATCATCTTGTTCCTCATCAGTTTGCAAGTTTTTTCCAAGAGGGGATAAAGTCTTTGGGAGTGAAAATGTCATCTTTACTACCATGAAGGAAATTGAGGTTAGGAGGAGGAAGGTAGGGGATAAGTTCCAAGCATGGTTTGGGGACAGCCAACTCCAGGAAGGAGAGGTCAGGGGGAAGGAAGAGGATGAAGGGGCTGGAGGTAAGCTAAGGTTTGCATAGGCCCTTCATGTGACCTGCAAGGAAGCAGTAGAGGGGGTGGGGTGGGCTTCAAAGGGGGTGACTCGTCACCAGAGGAGGCACTCACCAGGAGGGCTGCAGGGAGTAGTGGAGGAGGATTGGCCTTGCTGTTTGGAAGTGAAAGGCAAGAAGGAAGTTTGGATTTTAGCTGTTGGATGTTGGTGATAGTGGAGTTGTGGGGCAAAGGTCTTGGCTTGGAGGTGATGGAAAGGTTCTGGGGTTTTGAATTTTTGCTGGCCTTTTGTCTTCTTGTTGTTACCAATTTCCATTCAAATTTATCTGCTCCATTATGGCCCACCCCACCCACCGGAGCTTTGCTGGAGGGGTGCGATAGCAGGCAACGTGAGGTTAGGTGACCAAAGCGTTTGCAATGGCTACAGAAGGGAGGGTGTTCTTCAAACCTGAATGGAAGCCACAGATCTTTATAGCCGAGCCGGACATGCATCTTAGAAGGCTTGGCATGAGAAACGTCCATCTCAACGCAGCTGGCCTTCACCGGGTTAATACCCATTGCAGTCTTGGCACTGAGTTTCAGTGGTTTCCCCAAAGTGGACGCAATGGAGAAGAGAGGACCATGGTCCTGAAGATGAAGGGGAATTTGATCAACTTCAACCCAAACCGGGATAACTGGAGAATCGAACAGAGGAGAGTGGTCGGGAGACCATTTGCAGATTGTGATCCTGGAGGAGGAAATGATCCAGTGACGCCTGTGAAACCATCTAAGATAATCTTTGTCCCTCTTAAAGAGGAAGAGAAGCTCATTTGAAGAAAGCCTCCTGAGTTTGAATTCCTTGAAGTTACCCTTAATAAGGAAAGCTTCAATGTCTTTTATTGAGATCCTGGAGCTGGATCTTCCGATCAGTGCTCTGCAAAGTTTTCCGGCGAGTACCTCTTCTTCATCCGCCGTGAATTGAACAGAAGGAGCTGCTTTCTAGAAGCCACACAGTCTACCAGGGATGTTGTCCTTCGTTCCCTTGAGAAGGTCGGAGAAGAGGGTCTTGTGACAGAAATCATGACGGGATGAGAGTCCCGCCGGAAGGGATCCACCCACTGGAAAAATAGAGAGAGAAACCGCCATCTTATATATATATATATATATATATATATATATATATAGAATTTGGTTCCGGTAAGAATGAAATCTAATGAAAGAAATGGGAATGATTAGTAACCCTTGGATCTCCATCTGCCGCGATCAGACTCTTACTTATTGCGAGGGTATTTCAGAACTTTCGACCCATTGCCTTATCGCTCCATCTTCTCTATAAAATCAGCGCACAATCACTGCTCATTTTAGTTTTGTGATTTCCATAATTAAGAATGGGATTCTTTATTCATACCGTCATGTTTCATTCCACCATTAACGAGCAACGATTCTCCGGCTCTGTTACACAATACATCCGATAGATATCCGTCTTAATCAGGTATTGGGTATATTTATTCCTTTTCATAAATTACAACATATTGAGGTTTCGATCTGATTTTTTCCATATCGTGTTTATTTTTGTTTTCAAATTTTTGTTTAATTTCATGTGTAGATATGCTATTAATTTCGGGTTTCTTTTCATGTATTGATATGATTTTCATACTCCGTTACAATTCACCATTTATACATATGATGTTTTAGTTTGTATTTATTTGCTCAAAAAGTTCTCTGTAGTGCATCTTTACTCTCAAACTGATCAGGTTTGTTCCTTTCATGTCTATCTTATCCAATACCATTTCCTTTGAAATTGGGGTTTGTAATTGAAAATTGATTGATCAATTTCTTCTTTGAATAGTGCATATTGCTACTCAAAACAGTGCATATTCACTATATTGTAGCGTTCTTTTGAAATTTCAATACTACATGGTTCCACCAACCTAAATGGGTTCATTAAGGCCTTTAGAAAATACTTGCAATATATGTGGATTATGCACACCCAACTACTCTGATGCATCTATATTATGGCTTCTTGCTTCTCATGAGTAAGTAAGAGTGGTGTTAGTATACAGAACTACTCTTTTGGATATTGAAAGAATAATTATTTTAGTTTTTCATGCGTGTTTCTCAATTTACATCATGTGGTATATCAGTATATATCAGAGCCTGACCTCCGCCATGGTGCTGTGACCAAATCTTAGCCAAAACAAAAAATGATGGCCCCTTTTCCAATTTCTCCATGGTGCTTCAATTTCAAAGAAAAAAAGTTCCATCCAACTTTCAATAACACCTTTTTCAATTTCTTCATTGTGCTTCAATTTTTCTATGGCTTCCGTATTAAAAGCAACATAACTACACTGAAAATCCCGCGGAAAGGTTGAGGGCCTCTTATCTTTGTGCTCGCTCCGACATGGTTTTGCGTAAACAATTTATAATTTTACATTTTCTGTGCAATCAACTACTTCTGTTTTGCATGTTTCCTGGTGCACTCTAACTATTTCTGAAAACTCTCTTGTGTGCCATTTTGTCTTTTACAAACTTTTAATGCTAATAGTTTATGTTATTGTGCATTATCACTATTGAGGTAGTGCATTTAGATGCGAAGACAATGCATTCTCAAAATAAAAGGATAATGTATTCCCTGTTACTGCGCATTCTTAGAATCAAAGTAAAATGCATCTATTTTGATGAAATCATTCTAACCAAAGATGATGCATTTGTATATTCTAAATCAAAAATTTTATGCAAACAACGATGCATTTAACATATTCTATGATACATTTGAATGGGGGTTGGAAACGCGTTGAATGATGCAAATTTTAATAGATTAAAATATATATATAATAGGTCCAAGTGATAAGAGTCTCTTTGAAAAAACAAATCCTTGCCTATTAGCTCAAATGGTAGAGCAGTATGTACTACAGATGTGGGTTCGAATCCTGCATAGGCAAACTATTTCTCAAAACTTATATTACAATTATTTGGAATATAATGCATTCTCTGACTTTCTCATCGCATATAAAGTCATGCAGGAGTCATTCTTGGCTAATCCATAAATTAGTAGAATGAAATTTGAATAAAATCTGTAGAACAAATCACAATGCATATATCTGCCATCACAGTGCATGCGCATCACATCAGAGTGCATCTTGTCGAAATAAATCTGGAAAAGGGGATATTTAAAATCATTTCCTAAATTAGATGCCTTTTAGACGAAAGGAGTAGCATTAAGAGTGTGTAACATCCCAAAAAACAGTCTAAAAATTATATAAGAAAAAAGTATGTATAAATGTACTTTTCTTGCTTAGCTTTGAAATGTGAGAAGAAAAAATATAAAATTTTTATATTCAACATTGGTGTCATTGGGTAGATCTCGACGAGAGATTTCCAATGGCATATTATTTGTCAAGAATGAACTTGTATGCAAAAGGTTATGTACAATAATTAAATAAAATGAATTTTATATTTTAATATAATAAAATTCTCCTAAATACACCATACGGTATCAAGTTTGGATATGCATTAATTAAGATACATAGTATTACCATAATGCCCTTCATAGTTAACTATCTCCTAAATTGGTGCGTTATAATTTATTCTTTCCTTTTAAATGGAATATTAGTGATTTCATCTCTGTTTAATGATCTCCGTTGGATGCAACTGATCAAATGACTCTCCTTTATTCTTATTTCTTTCACCAAGCACCATTCTCACATGAACCAGCCTATAGGGGCGGGTTCCTGTGAGAATAGTGCTTGGTGAAAGAAATGAGAATAAAGGAGAGTCATTCGATCAGATGCATCGAACGGAGATCATTAAACACAGATGAAATCACTAATACTCAATTTAAAAGGAAAGAATTAATTATAACGCACCAATTTAGGAGAAAGTTAACTATGAAGGGCATTAATGTAATACTATGTATCTTAATGCATATCCAAACGTGATACGGTATGGTGTATTTAGGAGAATTTTATTATATTAAAATATAAAATTCATTTATTTAATTATTGTACATAACATTTTGCATACAAGTCCATTCTTGACAAATAATATGCCGTTGGAAATCTCTCGTCGAGATCTACCCAATGACACCAATGTTGAATATAAAATTTTTATATTTTTTCTTCTCACATTTCAAAGCTAAGTAAGAAAAGTATATTTATGTACACTTTTTTCTTATATAATTTTTAGACTGTTTTTTGAGATGTTACACACTCTCTTAATGCTACTCCTTTCGTCTCAAATGCATCTAATTTAGGAAATGATTTTAAATATCCCCTTTTTCAGATTTATCTCGACAAGATGCACTCTGATGTGATGTTCATGCAGTGTGATGACCAATGTATGCATTGTGATTTGTTCTCCAGATTTTATTCAAATTTCATTCTATTAATTTATGGATTAGCCAAGAATGACTCCTGCATGACTTTGTGTTTGATGACAAAGTCAGAGAATGCATTATATTCCAAATAATTGTAATATAGGTTTTGAGAAATAGTTTGGCTATGCAGGATTTGAACTCACATCTGTAGTACATACTGCTCTACCATTTGAGCTAATAGGCAATGATTTGTTTTTTCAAAGAGACTCCCATCACTTGGACCTATTATATACATATTTTTATCTATTAAAATTTGCATCATTCAGCGTGTATCCAACACATATTCGAATGTATCACAGAATATGTTAAATGCATCATCGTTTGCATAAAATTTTCTATTTAGAATATACAAACGCATCATCTTTGGCTAGAATGATTTCATCGAAATTGATGCATTTTACTTTGATTCTAAGAATGCGCAGTAACAGGGAATACATTATCCTTTGATTTTGAGAATGCATTGTCTTCTCATCTAAATGCATTTCCTTAACGCCACTGTACATTGTGCATTCTCAGATAGTAAAGTACTCCTTCCATTCATGAAAACATAGGAGATTTTGATTTTTAAGAAATTTAAGGGGAGTGTATTTTGGTGTTGAGTTTTAAAAAATGTCCTTGGATGTGATCGGTAAAAGTAGAATTTTATAGGTAGATTAATAATGAATAAATGTGATGTGATATGTAGGTTAAGAATTAGTGGTGGAAAAAGAGACTTTTTAGTAATAAAAATGAGAAAAATTTTCACACGGATGAAAAAAGAAATGAGAAATGTTTTCAGGGATGGAGGGCGTAGTTAAAATTAACAAAAATGTGTACATCCTGGAACACCATAATGCATCGTGGGAACAGAATAATGCATCTTGGGAAGGAAAAATTGCAACATGGTTACACAAAACGAAAACAAACTCAAAAAAAGAATTCTCGATAATAGAATTGAGTTCTCGATTCAAAGCTGCGATCAACTATAATTCATCACTTAAAATTATACAAGTGAATTAATTGATTATCATACATGACACATATGATATTCAATGATATTAATCAAAATTGTGATAAATCCCTACCATCGGAGAAGATAAAGTAGAACAAGAATAGACTAAAAATTGATGCCATATTTGATCCGTAGAAAATGGAACAGAAGACGTGAATGGCTAAAATCGTGGGCTAATTATCAGGGAAGAATTTAAATAGATATGAGAGAGAAAACTTGTTATGAAAATCCCAAAATGGGCATGACGATATCCCTACTAAATAGGTAAAATCCAGAAGATTGGGCGGCCAAGATGCGTTCTCATTTCTCTCATAAGATCCTATTCTCACCTGATCCTAATTATATATATATATATATATATATATATATATATATGTATATATATATATATCTATATGTATGTATATATATTTATATATATATGTATGTATGTATGTCTATATATATATATATATATTTATTTATTTATTTATTTATTTATTTATATATTTATATATATTTATATATTTATATATATATATGTGTGTATATATATATATATATATATATATATATATATATATATAGAGATTGACTCGAGTGAGATGACACCTTACGGTGAGATGACAAGCTTCGGTCAGATGACACAAAGCTCACCACTCGTCACTGCAAAGCTCACCAAAGACAACTACAAAGCTCACCAAACTGTAAGGCAAAGCTCACCATATTTTTTCCACAATTTGAATTTTTTTTCAAAAAAAAAATCAAAGAAAGGGGTGTTAACTGGACTTTGACTGTTGACCGCCAACATTGACCTCCTCCGCCGGTCGCCGGCCGCCGCCGCCGATCGCCGGCCGCCGTCGTCGGACTCTGGCCGCCGCCGCCGGTCGCCGGTCGCCGCCGCCAGACTTCGGCCGCCACCGCCGGTCGCCGCCGCCGGACCTCGGCCGCCACTGCCGGCCGTCGTCGGTCGTCGCCGCCGGTTCCTTGGCGCAAATTACAATAAACCTGTATTGTTTAGAAATATACCTTTCTTGGCGAGCAAGCAACGATATATGTTGGTTGATGGATTGATCCAAGAGCTAGCCACAAAAATATATGACCTCCAGTTGAGACACACGAACAATGAAGAGCGTTCTAGATAAAATTATGCTAGTAATTTTACTCTAGAATATTTCTAAAATATAAAATATTTGGTGTAAAGTATTAAGAGAACAAAACAAATTTTTCTCTCTTAAAAAGTGCTAGGGCCGAAATTCATATATATATATATATATATATATATATATATATATATATATATATATATATATATATATATATATATATATATATATATATATATATATATATATCACTACAAGAAAATATCAATTTTGCAACCGAAAAATTGCAACGGACATATTTCCATTGCATAATTGCAACGGTAATTTTATTTGCAACGGATTATTTTTTGCAACAGATTGTTTGCAACGGAAAATGAAAAGTTCCGTTGCAATTATCGCAGGAGCTTGGCGCCATTTTCCGGGAACGTTTTGCAACTGATTTTTGCAACGGGTTTCTGTTGCAGAGTATTCGCAACAGATTTCTGCAACAAGATTTGCGTTGCAGATTATTCGCAAGAGTTTCTTGCAACAATTTTCCGTTGCACAGTAATTGCAACAGATTTTTGCAACGATGTTTCCTTTGCAGTGTATTTGCAACAGATGTTTGCAACGGATTACCATTGTAAAATATTCGCAACAGGTAGTTGCAACAGAGTGTCCGTTGCAAATTTCTCGCTACATTTTTAATGTTTTTTAAAAATAAGTTATCGAAACTAAAAATACAAAACAAAAAGTAATTTTTATAAAAAGCCTTAAAAAGTAAATGAAACTAAAAAATGAGTTATACATTTAATTAAAATTAAAATAAATTTGACCCAATCAACATACTCATCTTAATACGGAGTATTTCATAAAATAAGATAGTCGTCGTGATGCGACTTGTTTTGTAGAATTGGTTATGTAATTTGGCATTATTGTATACATTTTATTTATATTAGTGACATTAATTAGTTTTGATTATTTTATTAATTAGTGCATATCGTCATCTCGTCAGAAATTGATCGACTATTTTAATTTATGTAATTAATTAGATTATACAATTATTTAATTTGGATAAACCTTATAAAAAACGAATAACCTAGCTAATTGATTGGATGTGTGGATCGGAGTTCATGTTTGTTCAACAACTTCAAAAATCTTACGGCGGGGGTCCGGGGCGGCAGCCCGTGGTAGTGGGGTCCAAGGGCGGCAGCCCCTGGCGGGGTCCAAGGGGCAGAGCCCCTAGCTGGGGTCGAGCTGCTAGTTGACCTGAAATTTTTTTGAACGTTGTTGCTTTATGAAAATTCTTTGATTTTTTTATTTGGAGTCTAAAATGGAGTCCAAAATGAATTTAGTAAATATATTCAAAATAAGAGATAACAAGAATATTTTATTTATCAAGTAATAAAAGTAATCATTTACAAAAAAAAGCCTAAAAAAAATAAAGGTAATGTTAGCCACTTGTCAGGTGACAACAAATTAACCTATTCCTCAATTACTACACACTTATAAAAATGGTAGCAAAGTGGTAAGTAGGGTCATTCTTCCACAGGGAGATTTGTCTTCTATTATTTCTTCTCTTGATTTATTGCTCAGTTTCCACAACACACACACGCAAGGGGGGGGGGGTTGTTCATAAGATGCTAATACTACGTAATGAAAATAGATTCAAACAGAAACAATGAGAACAGATCAAAGAAGGAGAGAGAAGTTCAGGTAAAAATTTGTGGTTATCAAATTGAGTGAACAAGCTTGTCTGGTGGAATTAGGAACAGTTGCTCAGATCAAAGTAAAAAAATCAGATTCTCAGTTAAACAAGTTGTTGAACAAAAGTGAGATTTAGCTCTCTCAACAAGGAGCTAAATCTCCACCTCAAAAATCAGTCCTTAAGAGAGATAAGCACTGCCTAAGGACCTGTACCTACGTTAATAACCTCAGGATGAGCCTGAAGCAAATGAACATAAGCATGAATTCAATTATAAAAACCTTTTGAACATACAATATACTTGGACAGCCAAATACACTATATGTCAGTTGTTGAACCCCAAATAAGAATTTCAGACTGAATAATTGAGGCATGAGACCTACAATCAACAGTTTGAGAAGCTGAGCAC